TGAACTCATCTTCCCAAGTCTGACTCCACTTTGGCTCTCTCAAGGACTGATATTATCTCCCTCAGTGAGGAAGGCTAAGAGTTTCACCTTATTAAAAGAAACCTAGGGCCAGGCGCACTGGCTCACGCCTGTAATCCCAGCACTTTCAGAGGCTGAGGTGGGTGGATCACCTGAGGTTGGGAGTTTGAGACCAGCCTGACCAACATGGAGAAACCCCATCTCTCCTAAAAATACAAAATTAGCTGGGTGTGGTGGCGCATGCCTGTAATCCCAGCTACTTGGGAGGCTGAGGCAGGAGAATCGCTTGAACCCAGGAGACAGAGGTTGTGGTGAGCTGAGATCGCACTATTGCACTCCAGCCTGGGCAACAAGAGAGAAACTCCATCTCAAAAAAAAAAAAAAAGGCTGGGCACGGTGGCTCATGCCTGTAATCCCAGCACTTTGGGAGGCCGAGGAGGGCGGATCACCTGAGGTCAGGAGTTCAAGACTAGCCTGACCAACATGGAGAAACGCTGTCTCTACTAAAAATACAAAATTAGCCAGGTGTAGTGGTGCATGCCTGTAATCCCAGCTACTCAGGAGGCTGAGGCAGGAGACTCGCTTGAACCCGGGAGGCCGAGGTTGCAGTGAGCTGAGATCGCGCCATTGCACTCTAGCTTGGGCAACAAGAGCGAAAGAGCGAAACGCCGTCTCCAAAAAAAAAAAAAAAAGAAACCTAGGAGTAACCTTAGCTCCATCTCACTTAACTTTCTTAAGTTTTTCTATCAGTCGCTGTCTATCCTTTTATCCCAATTGCTACTGCCTTAGTTCAGTTCCTGAGTAGCTCTTGCTTAGGTTACTCAACCTCTTCCTATCCTCTTTCTCTGCCTTCAGGCTTTTTTTCTTTTTTTGACAGAGGGTCTCGCTTTGTCACCCAGACTGGAGCGCAGTGATGCAATCACAGCTCCCGGTAGCCTCGACACCCCAGGCTCAAGCAACTTTCCCACCTCCGTCTCCCAAATAGCTGGGACTATAGGGTATGTCATCACACCCTGCTAATTTTTGTATTTTTTGTAGGGACAAGGTTTTGCCATGTTGCCCAGGCTGGTCTTTAACTCCTGGGCTCAAGCGATCCACCCACCTGGGCTCCCAAAGTGCTGGGATCACAGGCATGAACCCAGCTGCCTCCAGTCTTGTTCTATCTAGCCTCAATATGGTTACCCAGTTTAGGCATATAACAATCCTGCTTAAAACACTTCAATGGATACATAAGAAACTTCAGAGTGATTGTCTCTGAGAACTGGGGGATCTAGGATAGGAGAAATATTTGTCTTTCACTTTGATACTATTTGAATTATTTACTATTAGCATGCATTACTATAAAAACCTAAAGTTTCAGTGACCCCCATTGCCTACAATACAAAGTCTTTCATGAATCTCTCTCCTGTTTACCTCTCAAGCTTCTCTCTCAAGCTACTACTCTATCCAGAATGGCTTCCCATCCAAGTATCAACTTAGCTCTGAAGACTGTCCAGGCCAGGTGCAGTGGCTCACGCCTGTAATCCCAGCATTTTAGGTAGCCAAGGCAGGTGGATCGCCTGAGGTCCGGACTTCAAGACCAGCCTGGCCCAAAATGGTGAAACCCTGTTTCTACTAAAAATACAAAAATTAGCCAGGTGTGGTGGCAGGTGCCTGTAATTCCAGCTACTTGGGAGGCTGAGCCAGGAGAATCACTTGAACCTGGGAGACTGCACCATTGCTCTCCGGCCTGGGCAACAAGAGCAAAACTCGGTCCCAAAAAAAAAAGGCTATGCCCAAAAGGGACTTCCTCCTGACTTCTCCATATAGAAGTGACCTCCTTTTCCTTTTCCTTGTTGTTTACTGTGTGCCATATTCAGACTTCCAACATGGTACTTACAATTCATGTTGTATACAATAGTTAAATTAAAAGTCTAACTCCTTCCCTTAGCCTTAGATTCCCTAAGGACAGAAATTCTTTTTTTTTTTTTTTTTTTTTTTGGAGACAGAGTCTCACTCTGTCACCCAGGCTGGAATGCAATTGTGCGATCTTGGCTCACTGTAACCTCCGCCTCCCAGGTTCAAGTGATTCTCCTGCCTCAGCCTCCCAAGTAGCTGGGATTACAGACACATGCCACCACACCCAGCTAATTTTTGTGTTTTTTTTTTTTTAAGTAGAGATAGGAATTCTTATTCACTTTTGAATTTTCAGATCCTTGTTACAGGATCAGAATTTCCACAGGTGGGGCTTAGGCAAGTGTTTTGAGAATGTTCCCCAGGTGATTCTAACTATCCTATGTTAACTGCACTAAAACGTAAACTCTTTCACATCAGGAATTATTACCCAGCACAATGTAGGTGCTCAATAAATGCTTTACTAAACTGAACTGAAACAGACAAGTCTGGAAGATGAGGGAGAAGAGTTTGGAGCTAAAGATCTGAAGGCATCAGGATGTAAGATGGTGGGAGTGCAGTGAGAGAAAGGAAGCAGGGAAGGACTTCTTTATGACCCTTTCACTGTAACTGCAGAAGACTCAATTACGTGTGTTTTCCTTACGACCTGAGTTCCTGAAGGGAAGGGAACTCTCCGTCCTACTCATCTCCGTAAGCCTGGGGCTAAGCACAGTGCATGGTACATGTTAGGAGCTCAGTAACCTTTTATTGATCTCTTATTGATCTTTTTATTGTGTGTATTGGCCTAGGAAGCTGGATAAATTGATTTTCAGAGGGACAATTAAGTTCAGTCTTCAAAGAGAAGTTCACTTGGCAGAGCAGTGTCAAGAACTTCCAAGCAGAAGGAACAGCAGGAACGTAAGTTCTAAGACATGAAAGAGGGCAGCCACAATCTTTCCATGTGGCCAGGAGTCAGGTGCATAAGAACTTTACAAAATGAGATTGAGAGGGTCAAGGCCAGACTGTGTGAGGCCACAGACACCCACCTGCGGATTTAAGGTTAACTGTGGATGGCCAAAAAGGAGTTTTAAATTTAACATGAAATGATCTACCTTTACTCTGTACAAAGTACTAATGGGGCCACGCGCGGTGACTCACACCTGTAATCCCAGCACTGTGGGAGGCCGAGGCGAGTGGATCACTTGAGGTCAGGAGTTCAAGACCAGCCTGGCCAACATGGTGAAACCCCATCTCTACTAAAAATACAAAAATTAGCCGGGCGTGGTGGCAGGCACCTGTAATCCCAGCTACTTGGGAGGCTGAGGCAGGAGAATCGCTTGAACCTGGGAGGCAGAGGTTGCAATGAGCCAAGATCAGGCCATTGCACTCCAGCCTGGGCGACAGAGCGAGACTCCATCTCAAAACAAAAACAAAAACAAAACAAACAAACAAACAAAAAAACAGGCCAGGCGCTGTGGTTTCACGCCTGTAATCCTAGCACTTTGGGAAGCCGAGGCGGGCAGATCACGAGGTCAGGAGTTTGAGACCATTCTGACCAATATGGTGAAACCCCCGTCTCTACTAAAAAAGAAAAAAAATACAGAAATTAGCCGGCCATGGTGGCGCGCGCCTGTAATCCCAGCTACTCAGGAATCCGAGGCAAGAGAATCGCTTGAACTCGGGAGGCGGAGGTTGCAGCGAGCCGAGATGGCGCCACTGCACTCCAGCCTGGGCGACAGAGCGAGACTCCGTCTCAAAAAAAAAAAAAAAAAATTTAAAAATTTGAAAGTACTAGTCGAAGCACGAAAGGCAAAGAATTGAGAGGCTAAAGGGAAAAAAGCTTCATTAGCGGCTGAGGTCCAGCTGACAAACCCAAACATTAGGCAACTGAGGGAAGAGAGTGAGAAATCCATTCCATAAAACCCAGGAAGTCAGTCAAGCGGCCTGTAAATTGCGACCCCTGCTGACCGTCAGGCCACACACCGGTTTTTTTCAGCTCTCAACAAGATGCGGAGCTCCGAAGTGGAACTCCCCCAGGCACCTTCTGTTCTACTTCAGGAGTTCCAAGCCCCTTCCCATCACAACCCCATCCCGCGGGAGGCCCAAGCTGTGCGGAGCAGCCCAGGGATAAGTCAGCCGCCTGGGCGACCTGGGAACGCAGCGCCGGAGACTAAGGAGCAGAGTACAGAACTGCGCGTGCGCGCCTGCAGCACGAGCCCCGCCCCCCGGCTCTAAACCGGGTGGCGGGAAAAGGGACTCAGCGCCTCCTGAGAATGCCCCCATAGCTTCGAAAGGATCCCCGTGTCCGCTTAGCGCCTTCTCGCCACACACTCACTCACCCGCTCCCTGCGGGTCCTCAGAAGCCCGGAGGAGCCAGCAGCCCTCAGGCGCGGGGCCGCAGCCTTTCTGCCACCACGCTCGTCTGGACTGGTCCCTGCCTGCGCGGAGAGCGAGGCGGGGCTAGCCAGGCTGGTCCACGTGACTCCGAGCGAACTGGGGCGGAGATTCGTGAAGAAGGAAGGAAAAGGGAAGCGTGTGCAGGGACTGTTTTATGTGAGGTCGATCTAAAAATCACAGCGCTATGAATTTTCTGCTGAATTATAGTAGAATCAAAGTCCGATTAGAGGTGAATTTACAAACATTCTTCCCCTTCTTCTAGTCAAGCGGACTATTCCAAGTCTTAAATAGTTAGAAAAGTTAGGTTTTATTTGGGAGGAAGTAAAGAGCTGAGGTAAAGGGAGGAATGGTCTTCTGGGGTGGGGGAATGTCTGTTGTATTATAGGTATAAGTTTAAAGCTTTCAAAGTATATAAGAGGCTCATAAAAGGAAGAAAGCAACCATAAATATTCATTGATCAGTTGAGGGTCTTTTCTGGCCTCTCCTGAGATGATCTTGCCAACAAGAAAAGATAATAGGGCTCTGCTCTGGCCCCCTGTAATCCCAGCTACTGGGGAAGCTGAAGCAGGAAGATCGCTTGAGCCCAGAATTTCTAGGCTGTAGTGTGCAATGGTCGTGCCTGTGAATATCCATTGCATTCCAACCTGGTCAACATAGTAAGACCCCCCTCTCTTAAAAAAAAAAAAAAAAGAAGATAGGGCTCAAACGAATAATAATCTCCTGAATTATTAAGCATTTGAATAGAAGGAATCAATTTCTGGGGTATGAGGGAGTTAGAATAGATTTCCTTCAAGATGAAAGGACAGATGACAGAGAAAAATACACAGACACAAAACAAAACAAAAGAAACACTGAACTAGTGATAAAAGCAGAAAGATGCCATTTGAGGAGTGTTTTGATTTGCATTAAATAAATTAAAACAGAGTCAAAGCCTCTTGCCTCATGCCCCCTACTACCACCCCTGCATTTATTTGCTCCAGGAATCAGATTTCCTGTGTTGGCCTTAGGGCTTAAATACCATCTGCCAGGCAGTCACACCAGTGGATGTCAGGCTGACCAGTTAAGCTGCTTAATTTTTCTAGATTCTAGGCTTGCCCAAGCCTTATTTAGGTTGGAAGCTCCTTGGCCCAGGACCTCTGAAGAGATCCATTATGCCAGAATGAACACAACCAGTCAGTGGATGTAGACAGGTTTACGTGGCTTTACAGAACAGCTCAAATCCTAGTGTTCACTTTTCTCAGAGCTACTTCCCCACCCAAGTCCCTGGGGCAAGCATCCCTGAGATAAGTAGGCTATGTGTTCCCATTAACTTTCCCCCAATTCTTTGGTACACCTGCATCCTGATCTGGGGCTAATATCTCCATTTTCACCACCCACCTCCCTTGAGTCCCTTCTCCTAACCCTTGGAATGCCTTGTCTCCTCCACTTCTCTCCATCTGCCTCGTGTAAGGAGTAACTCCCTGCTTCTCTGTTCCTTCAGAAATCAAGAGCCACACACTTGACTGGCAACAGGGTAAAGGCCAGAAACTTAAGGTGTTGGTTACCCTGTACTCACCATACTGGGTCAAGGAAGGGAGGTATAGGATGGCACCTGTTTTTGCTTCCTTAGCTCTCATTGCCCCAAAACTCAGACACAGCCACAATCACTCACATTCATATGCACAATCAGCACACACGGCGAAGAGAGGTGGGATGGGGAGGAAGGGAAGTTCGCACCAACCAGCTCATGAATGCAACTTGAAAGATTTCACACAGCAAAAGGAAAAAAAAAAAAAAAAACACATACATAAGTTAAAAAATAAAGAAGTACATGCCCCTCCCCACAGTCTCTTTCTTCATCTAGGGGCTGACTCAACCCTTCCAAGTAAACTCAGAAGCTTTCTACTCCCTCTATTCAGCTGGAGCTTCTACAGGGCCTGGGTGTTCAGTTCAACAGGTTCCCCTGTGACTTCTGGTTGTCCATTGGCGTCTTCGGGTTTGACACCCCTGAGGACAGACAGTCTCTCAGAAATACTCTTGAGCCGGGGGAAGAGGAGGAAGTCGTAGAGGAGGCTGCCCAGACCCCCTCCAATGATTGGGCCCACCCAGTACACCTGTAGGAAGAGAAAAGGAATACTCAGGCTTGGGGAGGGGACAGAGCAGCAAGGCTGCTCTTTTTCCAACCGCATTAGTGGAAAACAAGATATTGTGCACTTGATATTTACAATAACCTCACCGTTTATTTTCTGATTCATCAAATTACTCCTGTATCCCACACCTTAGCATGTGTATATTCTATTTGTTGTTATCAATTTGCACTAGTTTGTATGTTGCTTTCAAAAATTTTTTATAAATTGTGTGAAATACATATAAAATTTACCATATTAAATATTTTTGGGGCCAGGCACGGTGGCTCACGCCTGTAATCCCAGCGCTTTGGGAGGCCGAGGCGGGCAGATCATGAGGTCAGGAGATTGCAACCATCCTGGCTAACACGGTGAAACCCCGTCTCTACTAAAAAACACAAAAAATTAGCCAGGTGTGGTGGTGGGCACCTGTAAACCCAGCTACACGGGAGGCTGAGGCAGGAGAATGGCATGAACCTGGGAGGCGGAGCTTGCAGTGAGCCGAGATTACGCCACTGCACTCCAGCCTGGGCGACAGAGCAAGACTTCGTCAAAAAAAAAAAAAAAAAAAAAAAAAAAATTTGGACAGGCACAGTGGCTTACTCCTGTAATTCCAGCACTTTGGGAGGCCAAGGCAGGCGGATCACAGGTCAGGCGTTTGAGAACAGCCTGACCAACATGGAGAAACCCCGTCTCTACTAAAAATACAAAAATTAGCTGGGCGTGGTGGCAGGCACCTGAAATCCCAGCTGATCGGGAGGTGGAGGCAGCAGAATTGCTTGAACCCAGGAGGCGGAGGTTGCAGTGAGCCGAAATCATGAGATCAAGCACCACTGCACTCCAGCCTGGGTGACAAAGCGAGACTCTGTCTCAAAAAAAATATATATATATATGTTTTTAAGTATGCAGTTTAGTAGTGTTAAGTATATTCACATTGTTATGCAACCTATATCTAGAACTTTTTCATCTTGCAAAACTGTAACTCCATACCCATTAAACAACTGCCTATTCCACCCCACCCCCATCAGCCCCTGGTAACTATCCTTCTACTTCACATCTGTGAATTTGAGTACTTTAAATACCCCATATAAATGTAATCATACAGTATTTGTCTTTTTGTGACTGGCTTATTCACTTAGCATAATGGCCTCAAGATCATCCATGTTGTAGTATGTGTCACCATTTCCTTCCTTTTCACAGCTAATATTCAATTTCTGTATATACCACATTTTGTTTATCCATTCATCCACTGAGGAACACTTGGGTTGCTTCTACCTCTTAGCTATTGTGAATAATGCTGTTATGAAATTGGGTGTACAGCTTTGAAAAATTTTTAAATTATTTCCATATGTTTGGCTTGCACAATATCAACATAACCAATATTTATTGAGTACTTACTTTATACCAGATTCTGTGCTAAATGTTTCTCACATATAACTTTCACACATTTCTCGTAATGTCCCATTTTATAGTAAAAGAAACTGAAGCACAGAGTGATTATTTGCCCATGGTCACACACAAAGCCAATAATGTATTAGAACTGGGATGGAGCTGAGGCCCATTTGTGCTCACAACACATCCTGATCTCTGAGAGCAGAATTTATTGTGCTCGTATTTAGTTGTCTCTCTTCATACCCCCTGGTTCAGCAACCAGTGAATACTCAGTGCATGCTCCCTGACTAACCAGAGAAGGAACAATATGAGCGAGAGCCTCTCCTTCTAGCAAAATCATGAATCCTGCTCACACAGGCATGCCAAACTCTCTGACAGCCCCCTTAGCTGAGTGCTGGTACATGCAGAAGGAAAGCAGGAATCCAGCCTGGAACCTGCAGTCCACAACCATCCAGAAGGGCTCCAGGATCTTGCCCCTCTCCCTTCACTCACCCAATGGTTGGTGAAGTTCCCAGTGAGAATGGCAGGAGCAAAGGAGCGGGCAGGATTCATGCCTGCACCAGTATAATACATCTGCAAAAGAGACAGTTGTAACTCAGACACCCCTCTACTCTACCTCAGCTTCTCTCCCCACAACCCACATTGCCCCTGAGAGATGGCGTCTTGTCTCCAACCAGCAGCAAGTGGAGAGAGACAGCCTGCATGACTCTCCAGGAGTTCCCACAATGGGGTGAGGGCAACTGATGCCCTATCTGGGAACAGACTATGGATCCATAGGCAAAGCCCATGTCTAGCCATGATGCATGCATTTCTACCTTGGGGTCAAGAAGGACTAGAATAGCAGTCCCAAGAGAGGGATAGGGCAGAGTTGATTCCTTTGTGCCAGTACAGAGTGCAATGGATAATGTTCATGTTTGACAGTGAAGTAGACAGGAAGAACCCTTAAAAGTTGGGAAAGGTTTAGGGGCCCTAGAATCCTTGAATGAGAAGTTGCTCTCCTTCCTGCTTACCCCAAAGAGGTGCCCCAGGGCAAGGGAGAAGCCAACGGCCAGGGCCACGGAGCCTAGTTGGCCATTCCGCCTCTCATCGTATGTGGCAAAGATGCAGAGCACGAACTGGAGTGTCAGGAAGATCTCCACTGTGGTTGCCTGGGCCACGCTCACCCCAGGGTGCAACTGCGCAAAGGAAGAAGAAGAGAGGCAGCTCATGAGGGCTGCCACAGTGTTACCTCCTCAAGACTTCCCCGGCAAGGATCTCCTTATGGCATCAGGTTCCTGGAGAGGAAGGATAATACAACCCCCTTCATAATCATTGTATTTGCATCTTAGTATCTCCTAACAATGCTCCTTCATGATGGAAAAGATTGCAGCCACTTACATAGATGAGGAAACTGAGGCCTTGAAAGGTAAAATAAGTATCCTCAACAACCTGAAAGGAGTTGGAAGGAAAGCTGAAACTCAAACTCAGGTTTCTTAATTATCAGTCCAGGGACCTATGCCTTCCTTAAAGCTCTAAACCACCTGTCGATCCTCTCCACTTTGACACACACATGCTCACACATGCAGGTATTGTCCCAGACCCCAGGGGAGCTGAATCACCTGCACCAGTCAGGGAGTCAGGGTAACAGAGAGTCAGGACACCAGGTTCCCCATCCCCTCTCAGCCAACCATTACCGTGTTGAGTGCTAGGTTTCCTCGGACGGCAGGCGGGGTAACGCTATACAGCACAGCAGCCCCAGCCACAGCTCCCAGGAGCTGGGCTGCCATATAGCAGAAGGCACGGAGCAGGGACATCTGGGAGCCCACAAGGAAAGCAAAAGTGACTGCAGGATTGACGTGGGCTCCACTGATGTGGCCCACAGACTGCACCAGTGTAGCCAGGGCCAAGCCAAATGCCATAGCCACCTGCAGAACATGCAGGGGTCCAGGAGCCCAACGCAGTGAGGACCCCAGCCCGAAGAAGACATAGAAGAGGGTGGCAAAGAACTCAGCGAATATGGCCCTCCAAAAGGAGGCTGACCGCAGTTCCCACATGGCAGGGGGGATGGGCACAGTGCCTGGGTCCCTGCTACCCCCGTGGCCTTGTCTGGGTGGATGGTCCCCTTTATAGAGGACTCTTAATCCCTGGGAGGGGCAGACTGAGGTAGCTGGCCCAGCCTCTTAACCCCTTCACAGCTGTGGAGGGCTAAGTCCCCTCCCATACAGGGTAAAGATGCTGGATTTTCCCTCCTGTCTCAACTGGGAGATGAGCCAAGAAAGCCATGGCAGTGAGGGTGGGATTGGGGTCACAGCAGGAGAAACTATGAGAAGTGGGGGTGAAGACAGTGGGACTGGAAGAGTCTGCCCTTCTACATGTGTCAAAATTGGGGTTCATAGTCCTTATTGACATCTACATTACAATACTCTTCAGCTCTCTTTGGAAGGTCCATCAAGCTGAGCTCGCTTCATGGCATTTGGGGCTGAGCTCCTGGGGGCCTCAGCCTCCTCTGAGTCTGCCAGGGGTAAGGGTGGGGGTGGGGGTAAGGAGTGGGGTTCAGCAGGGAAGTTGGATAACTAAAGAGAATTCTTTAGTTCCCAGGGATTAGAAGCCTTTCTCCCATTGGCTAGTTTGGGCTGGAATCTGTGGACCCTGCAGCTCCGGGACAAAATAGTTCTGCTGTGTCTGGCTTTCTCTGAGCCCGGGTTCCCTACCCCCAGTCCATGACAGTACCTCCCTTTTCAAACGCTAGGCCTGGCTTTTTAAACAACAGGGACCAACAGAGAGAAGACACTCTCATCCCCGCATGGGCTGGGGGTTGGATTGGAGGGATAGGAATGGGAAAGGGACTCGTAGTTAAACCTTAGAATCCGCTTGTATTTCATCTTTCCTAACTCACATGGTCATAGCAAGAAGTAGTGAAAGGAAGGAAACTGAGTCATGGCTATGAAGCAATGGGAAGGCCTAATGTCCTCTAATACAGCCATGATCAGCACATCCTAAACCTTGATCCCTAGGGAAAGGTATGGGTGTGCTGGGATCAGATCTGGGGAAACAGCCGGTCAAGGAGAGGGAAAAGGATAATATGGGGAAGGAAAGTTTGGGGAAAGAGGTTCAGTTGTGCTCGGGCCTGGTGAGGGACTTGGGACCTAGGCGTGGGGTTGTGTGATGATGGAGAAGGTGGAATGGGACATACTGATAGGTTCTACCATCTCCACATAGTGGCAAGTCATACTGGCCACAAACTTTTCTCATAAACCACCAGAGAACAGAAATTCGAGGTGAGGCCTGCAAGAATGGTGCCCAGCATGGGTCCCACCCAGTACACCTATGGGGAGAGAGAAGGAACACAGATCAGGGACTGTGCTTTCTCCTCATAATACCCAGCTTGGGGATGGACAGAAAGAGAGTTATAGTGAAGGTAGAGGGTCCATCTAACCTATCCACTGGCGGGAAGAGTTGCTGAGAACAGGCCAGAGAGCACCCAAAGGGTTTGGAGCTCTCAATCACATAGAAGAGAAACAGTCCACCAGACATCATTGGAATCTCCTATATTCTAGAAGTCTCATCAGTTTCCTGACTTCAGGCCCTGTGACCCTCGATGCATCTCTCCCAGTAATGCTCCCAGATCCCAGTCACCACTGCTGGCCTCAGGAAGCATGCAGGGTTCACACCGCCTCCAGAAAAGTTCCCCTGGACAGGAGAAAGAGAGAGGGTAGCACATCATGGTGTTAAGAGCAGAGACTTTGGCCACAGATACTCTGGTCCAATTAGGTGAGGATAAAAAGTGACAGAACCGGCTGGGTGTGGTGACTCACGCCTGTAATCTCAGCACTTCGGGAGGCCAAGGCGGGTGGATCACCTGAGGTCAGGAGTTCGAGACCAGCCTGACCAACATAGTGAAACCCCGTCTTTACTAAAAATACGAAAAATTAGCTGGGCATGGTGGCGGGTACCTGTAATCCCAGCTACTGGGGAGGTTGAGGCAGGAGAATCGCTTGAACCCCCTGGAGGCAGAGGTTGCAGTGAACCGAGATCACGCCATTACACTCCAGCCTGGGCAACAAGAGCGAAACTCCGTCTCAAAAAAAAAAAAAACAAAAAACCCTACAGAACCAGTTACAACGGCTAGTGGGAGTATAAACTGAGATATAATTTTTTTTTTGAAACAGGGTTTCGCCCTGTCACCCATGCTGGAGTGGAGTGGTGCAATCACAGCTTATTGCATTTTCAACCTCCTGGGCTCAAGTGATCTTCCTACCCCAGCCTCCCAAATAGCTGGGACTACAGGTGTGTACCACCATGCCCAGTTAATTTTTTTATTTTTTGTACAGATGGGGTCTCACTCTGTTGCCTAATCTGGTCTCAAACTCCTGGGTTCAAGTGATCCTGCCACCTCGGCCTCCCAAAGTGTTGAGATTACAGGCATGAGGCACCATTCCCCACCTGAGATAATGACTTTGGGACACAGTTTAACACTTACTTATAAAGATGAACAAATTACATAATTTTTTTTTTTTTTCTTTGAGACAGTCTCACTTTGTTGCCCAGGCTGGAGTGCAGTGGCACAATCAGCTCACTGCAACCTCTGCAATTTTTATGCCTCAGCCTCCCAAGTAGCTGGGACTACAGGCGCCTGCCACCATGCCCAGCTAATTTTTGTATTTTTAGTAGAAACGGGGTTTCACCATGTTGGCCATGCTGGTCTTGAACTCCTCACCTCAAGTGATCTGCCCCTCTCGGCCTCCCAAAGTGCTGGGATTACAGGTGTGAGCCACCACGCTAGGTCAAATTACATAATTTCTGATTTAGCAACACCACTTCTCACTTATATACCCAAGAGAAACTTGGGTAGCACATCATGTAAATTTATGTAATTGTCGGCTGGGGGCAGTGGCTCACACCTATAATCCCAGCACTTTGGGAGGAGACCGGCGGATCACCTGAGGTCAGGAGTTGGAGACCAGCCTGGCCAACATGGTGAAACCCCATCTCTACTAAAAATACAATAATTAGTTGGGCATGGTGGTGAGTGCCTGTAATCCCAGTTACTTATGAGGCTGAGACAGGAGAATCGCTTGAACCCAGGAGGTAGAGGTTGTAGTGAGCCAAGATCATGCCACTGCACTCCGGCTGGGCCACAAGAGCGAAACTCAGTCTCAAAAATAAAATAAAATGAAATAAAAGTAATTGTCAAGGTTCTAGTTTTTCTTTTGGGTGTATGGTTAGAAATGATGCTTAATCATTATTAAAAACAAGTAAGTGGGAGCCATACATAGGCCAATGAGGAGAGGATATTATGAACAACAAAATATTCTGTGTACCCCAAATTAATTAAAAACAGCAGTGACAACAATATATGCTTTACCACTTTCTAGTTGGGCAAGTTGTCCCTGCTATATATAGGTTCCAGGAGGGCAGGGACCATGTCTAATTTTTCACCAGTGCAAACCTTCTGGTGCTTAACACACAGAAGGCAGTAAATAAATATTTGTTGAATAGATTAGATTAGCATAAGCTTGCTTGCTTGCTTTTTCTTTCTTTCTTTCTTTCTTTCTTTCTTTCTTTCTTTCTTTCTTTCTTTCTTTCTTTCCTTTCTCTTTCTTTCTTCGCCTTCCTTCCTTTCTTCCCCTTCCTTCCTTCCTTCCTTCTTTCCTTCCTTCCTTCTTTCTTTTCTTTCTGACAGAGTCTCACTCTGGAGTGCAGTGGTGCCATCTCAGCTCACTGCAGCCTCCACCTCCTGGGTTCAAGCCTCCCAAGTAGCCGGGATTACAGGTGCACAGCATCACAACTGGCTAATTTTGTTATTTTTAGTAGAGACAGGGTTTCACCACGTTGACCAGGCTGATCTCAAACTCCTGGCCTCAAGTGATCCACCCGCCACAGCCTCCCAAAGTGCTGGGATTACAAGCCTGAGTCGTTGCACCTGGCCAGAGTAGCATAAGCTTCTGAGTCTCAGTTTCCTCTGTATCAAATAAGATAATGTAGGTAAAGAGCTTAGTACAGTGTCTGGCACAGAATAAAGCACTTAAAAACAGGAGGTACCTGCACCTGTAGTCCCAGCATATCAGGAGGCTGAGGTAGGAGGATCGCTTGAGCTCAGGAGTTAGAGACCAGCGTGGGCAATATGGCGAAACCCCTCCTGTACAAAAAATACAAAAATTAGCTGGGCACAGTGGCACACACCTGTAGTCCCAGTTATTGGGGAGGCTGAGGTGGGAGGATGACTTGGGCCTGGGGGTAGAGGTTGCAGTGAACTGAGATGGCACCACTGCGTTCCAGCCTTGGCGACAGTCAGGCCCTGTCTCAAAAAAAAAAAAAATGAAAATTTGGCTGGGTGTGGTGGCTTACACCTGTAATCCCAGCACTTTGGGAAGCTGAGGTGGGCAGATCATCTGAGGTTTGGAATTTGAGACCAGCCTGGCCAACATGGCAAAACCCCATCTCTACTAAAAATACACAAAAAAATTAGCTGGGTGTCATGGTGTACACCTGTCATCCCAGTTACTTGGGAGGCTGAGGCAGGAGAATCACTTGAACCCAGGAAGTGGAGGCTGTGGTGAGCTGAGATCACACCACTGCACTCCAGCCTGGGCGACAGAGTGAGACTCCGTCTCAAAAAAACCCCACAAAATTTAAATTTAAAAAATTTAAAAAGTAAACAGAAGCCACTCAGTGGGGTTTTATTAAGAGGAACAGGTAATCCCTAACCACCAATCCTGTAGCCTCTTATAATAAGAGACAGAACAGCAAAGGGCAGTTAATTCAATCTCTTGTAGACGACAAATAAAATGGCTAGGTTTCCTTATCTGCAGCTACCATCCTCTTGCCTTTATTCTTCATCAAACGTTGACAAGAACTCCATGGAGAACTAAACCTCGGCCCACTTCCTTTCACATCAGTCTCCCCACTTAGCTAAATGCCAGCCTCTTTCAAACCTAACTAGAGATGAACTCTCAAAAGCTTACCTGAGTTTTTGCATAGATATACATACAATTAGTATGTTATTGTTTTCTACTAGCCTAGCCTTTTATTTTTATTTTTTTTTTACAGACGTAGTCTCACTGTGTTGCCCAGGCTGGAGTGCAGTGGC